GATCCGCCTGCCTCTGCCTCCCAAGTGCTGGGATTAAAGGTGTGCACCACCATGCCTGACTCTCATTCTCCTTTTTGAATCCATTCTATGGAAAAAGTGGCAGCAATTTTTTTTTACATACATATAATTTCTGTAGCATCTGATGGAATGTCAAGCAGGAGACAGCAGAAAGGGTCACATGGAGCATCTGCTGAAGAGTGCACAGACATCTGCCGATGGGCTAGGGATGTTTTTGAGTATTCCTAGAAGAATACTAAAACTAGTTTTAGTTTTAAGAACAGGAATATTTTTATTTTATATTTTAAGAGAATAGATGATGATGGATTTTAAAGGTAAATAGCAATATTAAATTTCTTCTAATCTCTTTTCAGGCAAGCACACGTCTACATAATTGCGGGGGCCTGCTTGTCTCTCGGTTTGCTGGTTCCTGGTTCAGAAAATTTATCAGCATTTAATTGTTTGGTAAAAATTCTTGGTTTACTTTATTCTATTGTGAGTTCTTTTTTTCTTTTTAAAAATCTACTTTTAACTTTGATTTTTTTTTCTTTTGTTTTTCTAGCATAAATTTGCAAAGGATTTTATGACTTACTTGTCTGCACCTAATGCTTCTGTAGTAAGTTTTTTTAAATTCTCATTGTGAATAAAATACAACTCAAATTATAATAAAACTCAAAACTTCATTTAGTAATCCAGGTACTTAGTAGTTTCCAAATCCCTCTGCTGTTTGAATTTAAAACAGGAGATTTAAAGAACTGTCTCATCTTTGTATTTTGGTTTTAAGATACCTTTGAGAATGTGATTAACCTGGGATGATGCATATGTCTCTAATTCTTGTGAAAAGAGTATAAACGACAGGTATAACATGCATGGAATGGTATGCCTCACATTCTGTTGGTTTACAGCATGCCAGAACTGTCCTTTTGTAAAAAATTAATACTTAGTCAAGATCAGTTGCTCTAAGATATTACTACTTTGATGACAAGACTACAAGAGCTTATTTCCTGATAAAGATGACACAGACCTACGTAATAGTATTTGTAATATTAAAAATTATAAATACTAAGAATTCTCAAAGTAGTTAATTGTGGTATGTCCATATGTTCTTATGCATTGGATATAGCAAAATCTTGTATACAATTTTATGCTTACAAGTTATTAAAAGGGTTATATATAATATCAGAATATGATTTATTAACTACATACAGGAAAAATCTATAATGTTAATATCAATTCTCTGTGAATGGTAGGATTATTCAAAGTGAATATTTCTTCTGTGATGCTATATTTTTTTAATTCTCTCCATTGACCTTATATTTCATAGAATAATTATTTGCTTTTAT